TTTATGTTTTTAATGTTTGTTGTGAATCGCCCAGAGTTCCCCCATTGGGGGGAGATGGGTGATTGAAAAATTTAATAAATAAATAAATAAATAACACACAAATCACTTCCAACCTAACTCTGAGGCACAAGAGGTTCTTTGTAATACATGGAGACCCAGTGAATTTAAAGGAACAGCAAAACTTTACTGGTTGCAAGGTACATTTGCTCTTTCTCATACACACATACACACGCACACTCATCCACACTTACCCACGTCCTTCCCAACTAGGCTGCCAGGCACTAGATAGAGGGATGGAAGCCTCCAAGTCTGGATCCAAAAATGATTCAGCTCAGATGACTCAGAGTGGGCAGGCTTTGGGACCCCATTTATCCCCAAAAGTCCTTGCTTGGTTGATTTACAAGTTGATGGGATTGGGGTGAGGGTTTCCATGTGCTCAGGCCCAACTTCTTTTGTCTGGCTGAGGTCCTTTGTTTCCTTAACGACTTGCTTCCTTCTTATCTACCTCCCCAAAGGGATCTCATAGGCAAGTTTCCTGGCTTTTGTCTTCTCTGCTTACCTGCCTGCTTCATATTTAGGTTATGGCAGCTTCAGCCTAGTCTCACAAGCCTTTATATTGAACCATGAAGCAGAAAAATACACCTCTAACAAAATTTATCTCTATATGTGACATTTGTTGATTTGTTGACCTGATCTCAAGGGAGAAGCTACAAATTGTTGTAAATTACCATTGGTCACTGTCTACTCCTGATGCTGAGACTATATGAAAATTCATATTTAAGGGTCTGCTGTAATACCCAAGGGCACATTGCTAAAGAAATTCCTATTTTCAGAAGTATTAGGCAGGGTTGCATCCTGGCTCGTCTTGGAATACTTTTATATGCAGATGATGTGGTAATTCTTTCCAAATTTTGGTAGGGCCGAAAAGAGTATTACATGCTCTTGCTTCTGTTGTAACAAACAATTTTTAGACATCAGCAATGATAAAACTAAATTAAATCAATAAATGCCCTAAATAGTAGATCTTTAGATGAAAGAGTCATAGTTGAATGTCACCCCGGAATTGGAGTGCTTTGTTGCTATATGAGAGTGTAAGGAAAGGAATAGGTCTGTTTGACCTTCCATTCATTGTCTTTCCTTTTTTCAATATTCCATGACTCAGCTACCTTCAGTTGTATAGTAATTTTTAGATTCCATAGCTTTATCCAGGTTGTATTTTACTACCATCCCTCCATTTTTCTGTTCTGTCCCAGGCTAGAAGTAAGAACTGTCTAAGTAAGACAGTGGGCAAATTTGTTATTTTAATCCAGATGAGATTTAGGCAACAGTTTGCTTCAAACAAAAGATAGCTGCAAAGGTAGGAATAGCTATCCTTAGTATTCATTATAAATCCAGAACTTCCTTCTCCAAATAATGAAATTAATTACTGTGGATAAATCCATGACATAGTTAGCATAGCTGGGACTTAGGCAACAGTTATACCACAAACAAAAGATATCAGCAAAACTGGAGAGCCCCTGGCTTAGTATTCAGTATCAATCCAGAATGTCCTTTTGTAAATAATGAAATGAGTTTCTCTGAAATCATAACTAAGCCATTAATATTTTGTAAGTTACTGTCATAACTAAATACAAAAGGGGATAAGTGTGATGGAATGGAATTATGAAGGCCAGACTCAGGGAGGGAAACATGCTCTTTCGTCTCCTGAGGGGTGAGGAAGAGAGAAGAGGATGAGGCTGGCACCTCCCTGAGGAATTCACTCTGATTTGACTTTGGGAACTGAGT